ATATTTTTTTTGGGCAGCCTATCTACACACTCATACAGTGTCTTCTACACCGGTCAGCTTTATCAATCCCTCCTTTTCAACCTCAAATAGGTTTCTATCTTTACACCTATTTGAGTTTGAGGGGGGGTTATACCGTATCATGTTCAAGTCACCCCATGGCGCACTCCCTAAGTCGCCCCCTTGGTGCACCACCACAACCTCTGCTACAACGGTCCGACATGACCCCATAAACTGTCTGCTACATCGGTCTGACACGACCATACCGTGTCTCCTATCCTGTTTTATTTGTCAGTTTATTTTTTTCTGTTTTGTTACTCTCTTCAAACTTAAGTTGGTTAGTTCCTATCCTCCTTGAGTTTGAGGGGGGCTGTTAATGTACACTAAACCTAACCCACTAACCTAACCCACTACATCCACTCCACTAAACCTAACACACTTACCATCTCCACTACCACCCACCACCTCCACTACCACCACTCACCTACCTCACACCTCTCCTATATAATAGCTTGTAATATAGAAAATCAATATACAACAATCTTGTAATACATCAATCAATAATAATATAGATACATTATTCTCTGTATTTCTCTCTTTACACATTAGATTTAAACAATCGGTTTTAATTTTCTTAACTCATAATTAAATCAAATTATTTATTAAAATCAAACCAAACTGAATCGATGTAGATCAGATTGGTTTAGGTTAGAATTGCAATTCTATTATAAATAATTAAGCATATCATTCCTTTATAAAATATCTCAACTTCAATTTTACATCATCAATTTTTTTTTAATAAATAAAAATATAAATTAACAATAAATGAGTGCAACAAACAAGTTTTAAACATTAGTACAATAGTAGGAAAATGTAAACTGCCACCCAATGAACAATGGTTATGAAGGCATATAGGTGTAAAAAGTGTTTTATAATGGAACCATTCGGCTCATTTTTGATAATTCGAATGGTTGACATTTTAAAATTCATCGAGTATATTATCGTTGCAAAAATTAAGTCAATCGGATAACGGAAACTATGTGTTCGGATAAATTTTGTAGGAACCGTTTATTTTCTCACTGTACATTTCTTTTCATACAAAACTAATCCAAACACGTGTTTGCTGTTTTCCGATTGACTTGATTCTTTTATAGGAATGATATACTTGACGAATCTTAAAATGCGAACGGTTTGGATCATCAAAATTATACCCAAAAGTAGACCCAATGAGTCCAACGCCTCCCTAATTTGATTTGGGACCGGAGAAGACAGTTCCTTTTATAATTACACTAAAAAATATGTGTATTGCAATTGAAAATTTTTCGGCCTTATTTAATAGTATCCATGATAAAATGCCAGACAAAAAATATTAATTTAATTTAAAAAAAATAAGAATGCAAAGATACTAGTGAAATACATGCATAGATTTTGTTATGAAAAAAAAAAATGCATGCACAAATATTAATAAAAAGAAGTTGATGCACTACAATTTGTTAACATACACAACAAACTCGAAAAGAGTGGTTGAATTTGCGCACCATACCACGTCAACTTTCAAATAAAAGTTAATTGCTTGGATATTAATTTTTGGAAAAAAAAGTGTACGGGCGCAGAATAATATTCTCGTATAATCCTGTTGAT